TAGCTGGATGGGAGTAAGGACCTGGGCAGCATGCTGTTCATTGGTAAAGCTACTGCCTTTTCCCTTTACATTCCACCAACCCTCCCACAAACCTCGACCCCCCCACTATCACAGCTCAGAGTCAATGTGAGAGTAATTTAGGTATGCAGTACAGCACCAGGCCATTCGGCCCATTTCATCCAACCTTGTACACTTCACCAGAAGTATCCAATCTGAGACTTGACTGACAATTGTAAGGGAGTCTGGAACGTAAGCAATGCCTGTTTTCAAATGTCAAATAGAAGATCAGCATTCTTTTCCTTCTCACGGTCTATCAAGTGAGCTCAGTCGTTGTCCTCCCACCAAATTCTGGCCGAGATAAAACGGTTTGATGTAGACCCCAACCTCAAAAACTGGAATCTTCCCAGTAACAAGACATCATTCATGGGCTCAGAGATAGTAGGAACTGCAGATGCTGGAGAATCCGAGACAACAAGGTGCAGAGCTGGATGAACACAGCAGGCCAAGCAGCATCATAGGAGCAGAAAGGCTGACGTTTCGGGCCTAGACCCTTCATCAGACCCTCCATCATTCATGGGCTGATTGGCTGAATGAATACTAATCAGTGGTGACTGCTCAGACAATTATCTTAATGATGTGGCTTATTCCCTGCGTACAGAGGAAGGTCCTCAAACAATGCTGTATGATTGTGAATTGGTGCTTGACATTTGATTGAAGTGTTGTGAGTTTGGTTGCTGGTCTGTCAACAGACTGAAGGAGTTGATCTTCTCAAGACAGTTTATCTCTTCTGTTTTCCAATTGAATGCTGGAGGGGGTCCTTTTGACGCCTGGAGCCAGCGAGAGATATTCACCTTGAGTGGAAATGAGAAATCAAAGCAGGCAGAGACTAAATGTCTCCACATCTGGGGACTCACCTTATCTCATCCAGCTACCATTCCAAAAGTCTGAGCAATCAGGTCAGGCTCAATTTCTGCATCCATTCTACTTTCCCACTCTTCCCTCATATTCCTGGATCCCAAAAATCTATTGATCCCAGGCTTGAACACACTCATCAGCTAATGTTCTCTAACTCTCTGGAGCAGATAATTCTAAAGACTTGTCACACTCTGAGTGAAAGTTATTTTCCATATCCCACGGCTGTCTCCTTATCCTGAAACAGTAACAGCCCCTCACTTCCCAGTGTGGAGAACCAGCCTCCTACTTGTAAGCCAATTTTGGATCCAGTTTTCCAACTTGTCTTGGGTCCCATGGGCTCTTACCTTTTGGAACAGCCTTCCATGTGGGATATAAACCACTTCAACTGCACTACCCTCATCCATATATTTAGTCACCTTTTCAAAAAACACTAGTCATATCTCCCTGCAACAAATCCATGTGGAATCTCCCTGCTCAATCCCTGCTTCTCCAAGTGTTGATTAATCCTGCCCTTCAGAATTTTTTCCAAAAGTTTCCCTACCACTAATAGACTAACTGGCCTGTCCCTGCTGCCATTCTTGAGCAAAAGAACAGCATTAGCTTCCCTCCAGTCATCTGGAGTCCACTTTACCTGTGCCCTGCAAAGTGTTAAATATCACCTCCAGGGCTCCAGCAATCTCCTCCCTTGTATCCCAGAGCAACCTGGGACACATCTCATCAGGCCCTGCGGATTTATATACCTTTATGCCCTCTAAAACATCTAATACCTCCTCCTTCTTAATCTTAACATACTCTAGAACCTCACCATCCCAATTGAAATCCCTGGCTCAAACCCAAGTCTGCAGAACATTAGCCTGGTGGGCCAAAGGGCCTCTTCCTGTGCTATATTGTTCTTTGTTCTTCGAACTGAGCCACCTGGAGAAAGAGGGGGAGAAAAAGCTGCAAAAAGACATCAAGAAGGATCAGTAAGAAATGGGTCAAACAGGTCTAGGCCCGAAACGTCAGCCTTCCTGCTCCTCTGATGCTGCTTGGCCTCCTGTGTTCATCCAGCTCTACACCTTGTTATCTTAGGTCAAACTAGTGTGATGTTTTGCACGCAAATTCTTCATCACAACTCAAAGATTTGGCAGTTGTGAGTATGGCCTCCAGTATCACAGCACTTTATACCAGGCAAGCCGCTCAGTGGCTGAAGCATTCACTTAATCACAATCAAAGTAGGGAGTGTAGAATACCAAGCCCTTGGGCCTTTCGATTCACCATAGCAACAGTGGCAATTTGCTTCTGAGAACAAGGTCTAATCGCTCCAAAACAATCTTGTCAAGGAGTTGGTAAAGCTTCAGCTCGTTGAGCACAATAAATTATCTGTTAGCTTCTCCTTATCTAATCTCTTGCTGATCAAATGATTCCGTTGGTTTTTTTTTGCTCTGTGAAAACTGCCTTGGCAGCTAAACTTTGCTTTGTCCGCAAGGGAGAGAGAGAGGGTCCGAGCTCCTCCTTTCCCAGCTGAGTGTAGCAATGTCACCAGAGTGGGCAGTGTTAGCCTGAGGCCACTCCTGTTCCTGGGACATTAAGTTCAATTCCCCCACGTGAGGGGCCGGCGATCTTAAATTCAATTTTATTGCGTCGGAGCTTGCTCAGTCGTGGTGACAGCGCGGAGCTGATGTTAAAACTAGCTTTACCGTTCCTTTCTGATCGATCTTGGTGTAAAATCATTCACTCATAGCTTCGAGGGAAGGGAATCTGCCCCTTACCTAGCCTACGTGACTCCAGGCCTATGCCAATGTGGTTGACTTGTTACTGTCCTCTTGAAGTGGCCCAGCAAAACTCTCAGTTGTATTGAAACAACTGTGAAAAATTCAGGTGAAAAGAGTAGAGCAGACCAATGCCTGGCCTTAGAACCTGTAAAGTCCTGCTCACTAACCCCTGGGGTTTGTGAGAAATTGGTGAAGCTGTTTCTCAGACTAGTCAAGCAAATATGACAGTCATACCTTACAGGCAAAGTCCCTGACACCACCAACACAGTGGGATACAGTCAGGAGGGAGTGACCCTGGGAGTCCTCAATGTTAACACAGGACCCTCTGAAGTCTCATGGCTTCAGGTTAAACATGGGCAAGGAAACCTCCTGCTGATTATCGTGTACCGTCCTCCCTCAGCTGATGACTCTGTGCGCCTCCATGTTGGATATCACAGCAGTAACAACTGAGTGTGCCAAGACACAGAATGTACTCTGGGTGAGGGATTTCCACGTCCACCACCAAGAGTGGCTCGGCAGCACTACAGATCGAGATGGTCGGGTCCTAAAGGACATAACTGCTAGACTGGGTCTGCAGCAGGTGGGGAGGGAACATCATGCTTGACCTCATCTTCATCAATCTGCCAGTTACAAATGCATTCATCCACGACAGTATTGGTACAAGTGGCCACTGCATAGTCCCTGTTGGGGGGGGACGTCCCATCTTCACGTTGAGGATAGTCTCAGTTGTGTTGTGTGGCACTGCCATTGTGGTAAGTGAGAGCGATTCAGAACAGATCTGGCAGCTCATAACTGGGTGTCCAGGAGACGCTGTGGGCCATCAACAGCAGCAGAACTGTACTCCAGCACAATCTACAACCTCATTGCCCGGCATATCCGCTGCTCAAGCCAGGGGGCCAACCCTGGTTCAATGGAGAGGCGCAGGAGGGCATGCCAGGAGCAGCACCAGGCATCCATCAACCTGGTGAAGGTTACAGCTCAGGACTCCTTGCTTCCCTGTAAGCTGCTCACCTTCCCAGCTCGGAACTATAGAGTCATTCCTACAGTGTTGCCGCATTGCAATCCCAGACCTCCCTCCCTGACCGCCTTGCAGCTGTAGCTACACCAAACAAACAGCTGCGATTAAAGAAACCTTCTCCATGGGGCTGGGCAATATGTGCTGACCCTGGCCAGTGTCGCCCAGGACCCCGTGAATGAATAAAAAACATCCCAGTGGGTACATTCCTGCTGCCCTTTGATTGGTGCAATAGTGCACATAATTGACAACCCTCCCTCTGGCTTAGTCAAGTAAAGCAACACCCTCAACGTCAGCTTTCCTGCCCCTCTGATGCTGCTTGGCCTGCTGTGTTCATCCAGCCCTGCACCTTGTTATCTCTTACCCTCAAGAGGAAGCAACTTTTCAACATTCACCTGGTTAAGCCCCCTCAGAATCTTATATGTTTCAACTAAATCACCTCTGCATCTTCTAAACTCCAGAGAATACAGGTCTAGCCTTTCTTCATTAGGCAATCTGCTCATTCCTGGTGCCATCTTCCTGCACAGAGGTTTAGTTGAGGCCATGCCTGTCTCCCAGGTGGACCTCCAAAGATCTTACCCTGTCATAATCTAGCGAAGGAAGCTTTCCCCTAGGTGGAGGGATCAGTGACCGAGGGCATAGAATTAAGGTGAGGGGTAGGACATCTTAAGGAGATGCGAAGAAAGCAACTTTCACCCAGAGGGTGGGGTGAATCTGGAACTGACTGCCTGTAAGGGTGGGACAGGCAGAAGCCCTCATAGCACTGAAGAAGCTAAATTGCCTTGCAGTGTCCAAGGATGGGCAGGCCTCCTAGATTAGCCACTGTAAATGTGGGGTGATGGAAATTGGGCAGGGGGCTGGGTCTGGGTGGGATGCTGTTTGGAGAATTGCTGTAGACTGTGATGGGCTGAATGGCCTCTACAGAGATTCTATGATTCTGTTCTGTGGAGTATTTAGATATACTATGGGCACAAGGCTATACACCAAGTGCTGGAATATAGTTCGCTGCTAGTTTTTGACTGACACAGACTCAATGGGCCTTCCCCTGTGCTGTAGATCTCAGTGAGAATTGCAGAATATCAGGGCAACCTGAGCCAATATTTGTCCTTTGACCAGCATTGATTCAACTGAATGAACCAGCATGATCTGTACTGTACCCCAATTGAGCTGCCAGCTCTCTCACATTCCTTTGTTGGCCTGTAGGATATTTGGGATGCCCTGGGTGCCACACAAATGCAGGTCCTTCTCTGGTGTGTCTGTTCCCCTCCCCCTAGAGCCGGACCTATTGACTCAGGACAGTTTGTTTGTGTTTCCAGGTTTTGGGATGACCACACCGGCCACGGTCAGCGGGAAGGTTTTCCTGATTTTCTACGGCCTGGTGGGCTGTGCTGCCACCATCTTGTTCTTCAACCTGTTCCTGGAGCGGCTGATCACCGTGTTGGCCTACATCCTGAAGAGCTGCCACGAGAGACAGCTGAGGCGGAGCGGAATGCTACCCCAAGAGAACTGCCTTGAGCCGGGCACTGCCGCCGAGGTGGACAGCTTGGCAGGCTGGAAACCCTCCGTCTACTATGTCATGTTGATCCTAGGCCTGGCTGCCATTGCCATCTCTTGCTGTGCCTCTGCTATGTACACCCCAGTGGAAGGTTGGAGCTACCTGGACTCCATCTACTTCTGCTTTGTAGCTTTCAGTACCATCGGCTTTGGGGACCTGGTCAGCAGCCAGAACATGAGGTACGACTACCAAGGGTTCTACCGTTTTGGCAACTTCCTGTTCATCCTGATGGGGGTGTGTTGTATCTATTCCCTGTTTAATGTCATCTCCATCGTCATCAAGCAGTTTCTCAACTGGAGCCTGAGGAGGCTGGAGTGCCAATGCTGCGTCCGGTGCCAGAGGAAGTTCCTCAGGCCCGGGAGGAACGCCGTGGCTCCCTGGCTCACCAGGAGGAAGATCTCCATCGAGACGGACGCCTTCAACGAGAGCGAGGCGGCGGATGGGCGGCGGCTGTCTGGGGAAATGATCTCCATGAAGGACCTCCTGGCCTCTAACAAGGTCTCTTTGGCCATCATGCAGAAGCAGCTGATGGAGACGGCGAACGGTTACCCCAGGGTGAGTGGGCACCCCCACCACCAACCCCGGCAAAACGGCTTCTCCGAGGGGGTGGGCGCCCTCGCCATTATGAACAACCGCCTGGCAGAAACCAGCGTGGACAGATAGAGGGACAGCTGGGAGCAACGCCCCCCCCCACACCGACTCCCCCATACTCCACATCAATATCACTCCAAAAGCCACAGCCTTAAAGACTGTCTAGCCTTTTTTTTATTTAACAAAAAAGAAAAATAAATTAAATATTTCTGGATGATTCTGTTTGGTGGTGAACTTTCACCTGTGCCTGGACTCATGTTTGAACTTTGACCTCTGACAGGTTGGATTGGGGGTGCTAACTATCTCTCAGGAAACCCAGTTCCACAGGCCGTTGAAGGGAGAAAGAGATTTGAGGCTGGTATGAAACTGGGAGGGCGCTGGGTGTGGAAGGTGGGCCAATGGGTCTCTGGCCAGTTGGTCATTCTGAGCATCCCCCTCCCCCAAACCCTGCAGGTGGTAGAAAATAATGGAAACATGCTACAGGGGGCACTCCAGGGCCAAGAGCTGATCATATCCTGAGCTGCACCAGACTCGGATGTCCCCGGGTCCAGTGCACACAGCTCCCAGTAGGCTGAGACAGTTTGACCTCTCTGCCCCTGTCCCTGTACAGGTCAAGGGTTCATAATGGCAGTGAATGGGGGAGCCAGCCTTGTTTATGGTGACCTGCACAGGGAACACATGAGCCTCCTGAAGCAGCTCGTTGGATTGAAGACTATTGGACGTCAGGGGTTGGGGGAAAGTGGGGGTTTGGTGGGGAGGGGCAGCTGATGGCTTGTTAAGGGGGCAGGAAGCAAGGCCGGGTTGGAGGAAGCAATTCTGGGAGGGGCAGGAGCCAAGGCTGGAATGGGGGGAGAGCAAGAATTGGGGATAGTGGGGGGAGGAAGCAAGGCCAGGAGAGCAAGGCAACAAGGCAGGAGAGAGGAGTGGGGAGGATGCCAGGCTGGGGATGTGAGGAAACAAGGAGTGGGGGGAGAGGAGTGGGAACAATGCAGGGCCTGGGTCTGGATGCAAGGCTGGCAAAGTGAGGAAACAAGGTTGGGGAGAGCGGTGGAAGGATGCAGGGTCTAGGAAGGTGAACAAAGCATGGATGGGTTAGGCAACACCAGAATACACCAATGTCCAACTTGACGTGACATAATTCGAAGAAACTGGTCCTGCAAGTAAACCATCATTCAAACAAAACAATGTTAAAAGAGCTATCTGTAAATTGTCTACTTGTTTGGATTGTTATCAGCTTTTGGCTAAACGTGTGTACATGTTTGTGTGTGCATGTGTGTGTGAGAGAGAAAGAGAGAGAGAGAGAATGTGTGTATCTGT